CTTATAATTTTTCATCTACTCAGCCAGTCTATGTCTCTTCAGGGGACAATTCAAGCTATTCACATTTATTGAGAGGATTGATATTTGGGGTACATTTCTATTCATATCGTTGGGTAGATTCTTAATTGTTTTGTTTTACCTCTGGAGCCATTGTGGAATCCAGGTTCTGATCACTCTCCTGAGTGATTTTACTTTGGTGAGTGTCTATTGCTCTGTTCAGTGTATAATGCAGGTCTGAGTACGTCCTGCAGGGCAGGTCTGGTCTTCACAAATTCCATCAGTGATTGTTTGTCTGAGATAGTCTTTATTTCTCCCTCATAGATAAAGCTTAGTTTTGCCAGGTAAAGAATTCTAGGTTGGCCGTTACTCTGTTTTAGAAGATTGAGGATGGGTCTCCAGTCCCTTCTGGCTTGTAGGGTTTCAGTTGAGAAGTCTGAAGTTAGTCTGATACGTTTTCCTTTGTAGGTTATCTGCTGTTTTCATCTTACTGCCTGAAGGATTGCTTCTTTTGTGTTTGCTTTGGCCAGTCTGATAGTTACGTGGTGTGGCGATTGCCCTTCACGTTAAGTCTCCCAGGAGTTCTGTGTGCTGCTCGTATCTAGGTTTCTGGCCAGGCCAGTCATATTTTCCTCCAGTATTCCAAGAAATAGATTTTCCAGCCCTTGTGTATTTTCTTCTTCTCTCTCCTGGATGCCTATAATTCTTCTGTTTGGTTTCTTTACATAATCCCACATTTCTTGCATGTTTCGTTCTTGTCTCTTGCTTCTGTGTTCTTTTTCTTCATCTGATTGGTTTAGCACATAGGTGTTGTCTTCGAGCTCTGAGATTCTTTCCTTGGGTGATCCAGCCTATTCACAAGGCTTTCCACTGTGTATTGAAGTTCCTCGAATGCCTCTTTCATTTCCAGGATTTCTGTTTGGTTCTTCCATAATTTTTCAATTTCTTTAGAGAATTTTTCATTCATTTCCTGTATTGCTCTCATGGTTTCTTTGTGTTGGGTTTCTATTTTCTCTTCAATTCCACTGAGTTTCCTTATAATCCATATTCGGAATTCTTCTTCCATCATTTTAATCATTTCATCTAAATTAGTATCTGATTTTAAGGGTCTCATGGTTTCTTTTCTCTCTTTTTTTTATTCTCCCCTCCCCTCCCCCTCATGGTTTCTTTTGGGGGTGACTTTTTTCTCTGATCTTTCGTATTTCCTGTGTTCTTTCTCTGGTTCTTTCTCATCAAGGTACTTGGCTGAGAACTGGAAGTGGTAGGACTGGTTTGTGCCCCTAACTACAAGCCCCCAAGGGGCGTTCCTTGACAGTGGTGGGAGGAGGGGCGCTGGTCTTGTATTGCCTTAGAGGTATTTTGGCCAGTTGGGTTACCTCTGACCTGTTGTCTTCACCTCTTGCCAGTAGTGAATTTGGGCCCCCAGCTTAAGCTCCCAGGTGCTGAATCGCACCTGTGTGTATGACTCCACTGCCCGCCAGTAGCTTGAGATGGAGGGCACTGGGTTAAGCTATGGGGTTACCCTCTGTCCTTGGTTGTAGGTTGCCTGGAGGAGCCAGCCATCGAGGTAATCTGATCCCTCTGTGTTGGTCTCTGGTCCCTGGATGGGGAATACAAATGCTCTGATCTTTAATAAGTGTCTTGCCACTCCGGAGGGTTACTTGGACCCTATTCCCCCTTAAAGTGGGGGCAGGGGCAAGGCAGGTCTCAGCTGATGGCTGCAGGCCTGTGTGTGTGTGTGTGTGTGTGTGTGTGTGTGAGAGCCTGTATGGTTGCTTGACCCGCAGCTGGGGGAGCCGCTAGTATGTTATTTGGGGCTCTTTCACCACGCTTGGGGGGCTGCTCCTGCTGGGGGTCCATTGCTGGAGCTGCTAAGGTCTCCGACCAGGGTTTTCCTTCCCGTCCACAGACCCCGCAGCTGGCAGCCACCCGGATGCGGAGAGCGAGCTCCAAAGCCGTGTTCTCATTAGATGACCTGCGCCAGCTTCGTGCCAGGCGCCCAGGGAAAGCGGCTGTTCTCGCTTCTTCCGCCTCCCGTGTCCCGGCCCCGCGGCCGCCGCGGCAGGTGCCGTCTCCGCGGGCCCTGGCGGGGTCGCGGGAGGGGTCCCCGAGACCGGTCCCGGCCCCGCCCGGCGCAGACACAGCTCCGGGGAGTTCTAGGTGTTTCCCGCTCCTGTCCCCTGTGCGCAGAGCCCCCCATCCCGTGCGTGACTCCGCACCGACTTCGGGGCGTCCCCGTCCGGGCGGCGGGGGGTCGGAGGGAGCCGCGTCCTCCCCGGGCCGGACCCCGCTGCACCCGCCGGCCCGCGCCCCGTTCTCTGCCGTCCTGTTTCCCGTCACGTTCCTCTGTCCCGCTTTGTGCGTCCGCAGTTTCTCTGCAGCTTCGCAGCGCGGTTCTTGCGGGGCGTGGTCCACTGGGGTGGCCGGCTCGTTCTCCACCCCCCTCTCCGCGAGCTGGGAGCCAGCGGGTCGCCTCTTCTCCGCCGTCTCCACTCCCCCTGACTTTTAGGGTTTTTTCTACGCCGTATGTTTCCTTGCTCCACTTTCTGGAAGGCGGCCCGTGGCATCATCTTTCAAGCCTCCTACCAAGTTTTTCATTCCTGCTCTCATGTTTTTCATTTTCAGTAGCTCTCTTTTGTCCTCTAAATATTTCTCTTTTATAGCATTTTATTCTTGTTTTGTAGATGCAATATATTTTCCTGTCTCTTTGAAGGTATTAATATGTTTTGTTTGTTTGCTCTGGTTTCTCCCTGCTTGCCTCGATTTCTTCTGGGTTCTTGTGTTTACCCATATTTCTTTCTCTTTTATGTTATAGACTTTCCAAATATAGTTAATAAATTTGGCTGTCAATTCACATTTAAGAGTGGGGCCAGGCGCAGTGGCTCACGCCTGTGATCCCAGCACTCTGGGAGGCCGAGGCGGGAGGATCCCTTGAGGCCAGGAGTTCATGCCCAGCCTGAGCAAGAGCAAGACCTGTCTCTACTAAAAATAAGAAAAATTAGCCAGGCTCGGTGATACACGCTTGTAGCCCCAGTTAATCAGGAGGCTGAAACAGGAGGATCACTTGAGCCCAGGAATTCAAGGCTGCAGTGAGCTGTGATGAAGCCACCACACTCCAGCCTGGGCAGCAGAGCAAGACTCTGTCTCAAAAAAAAAAAAAAAAGGTGAGCTACTAAAGAGCTGATTAAAAACTCTGTAGCATGGGTGGGGCTGCCCACTGGCGGGATTTCCTGGAGGGTGATTCATTGCAGCGTTTTCGGGAGACCCCAACTGCGGCGTCTTCAGATGTTTGCTCTTGTGCTGGTTAATCACCCAGAAGACAAATGTCCAATCTGCTGCCCAGAGGGCGTGATTCTGGCTGCCGGAGTTCTGAGATCTTTGTCAGAAACAGGGTTGAGGAGTCTCTTAATACATAGACATCAGCTTCATCCCCCCGTTTTCAGCATGGACTCCCGCCCGTGGCTGGTCCTGGGGTCCCCCAGCCCAGGGTTCTAGAAGATGAGCCCCCCGTCTCCTGCTGGAGCGAAGAAGGACAGAGAGGTGTCACCGCTTTTTAGCTGATTTTCACCCTGCCTTCCTGTTTCCAGCCCACCTTCACCTCCGCTTCCGGGGGCTGCTGTCCCCGCCCGTTCGGAGCCCCGCGGTGGCTCCGTGGCTCCGAGCCTCTCTGCTGGCTCGGGTTTCAGCTTTGTCAGCCTTGCCGGTCCTTCCACTCGTCGCCCACTCTCCAGGTTGCGGGGTGCCATTCATCGCCCCTCCCCGCTTGTCCTGTGGCCTCCTTCCTTCGCCCCAGTCTGCGGACGCAGCAGCGGAGGCACGCGACCCGCTGCCTGGAACTGGCGGCCGCCGCGGGTTTGGTCTTCCTCCTGCTCTTTCTTGCCTGCAGCCTGCTCGCCTCAGCACCCCGGGCTGCGCGGCTCGTTTGCGCGACTTTAAGAACCAAGATCAGACGTGAAGGAGCCGGGGAGAGGCAGAGAGTTTCTTCCTAGAAGACGTGATGTCCTCCCAGGAGCTGGGAACACTCCCTTGAGGACACTTGCCAAAGTTGTTTTATTTTTCATTTTTCCCTCTTATAAAAGAAGCCTATCAACACTAGGTTGATCACATGGCAGAAATACTCTCTAGGGATTAGGGGGATGGGGGGCAAATCTACAACCAAAGGACACGGGGAGCACTAAAGGGAGGAAAGGGCAGGCCTCTAACCCGCATTTGGGTGAGACAAAGACATAAAGTGTACGTATAATGTTCGTATCCTCACAAAACCCTGGAATAATAGATAAAAAAAAAAAAAAAGAAGCATATAGTCATTAAAGAAAGTTGAAAAAACTAGAAAGAAGACATTTTTTTGTCACCTGTTTCTACATCCAAAATAAATTTGTTTGCATTTGTTATATTTCCTCCCAGGACTTGTTTGTCACCAGGGCTTTATCACCACCACACAGCAGGGGTAGGGTGAGGGTCTCACCACCCACCTCACCACGGGGCTCTGCCTGTCCCCATGTCCCCATGAGGGAGGGACCTTCCACCCCTTCTAGGACCAATCGCTTAGCACCGGGCTCCCTACCGGAGGGCAGAGAGGGCCCAGGAAGAGGAGGTTCAGCAGAGAACAAGACAGAACGTCGTCGAGATGCTCTCGGGGCAGGGGTGGGGGAGGGGCTAAAACAAACACAGGGAAGACGGTGGAGCCGCAGAAGCAAAGCTATTAATGCATAGCAGGAACATGGAGGCCGCATTTGACAATCGGGAAGGAGTCCTGGGAGAAGGGAGAGGAGGTCTGGTTAGGGACCATCAGGGATGAGGCTGGAGGTGTGCGTTGGGGCCGAATCGTGGTGGTTTGGGTGCCTGGCTAAGGGGCGTGGAGCTCCAGCACTGAGGGGTTTGGAGCAAGGACATGGCAAAATCGAGGCCACCTCTAGCAGCCCCAGCGTGGGAGGGGCCTCCTCTCTGGCCCCAGGGCTCTGACGGCCTCCCTCCCCCTCCCCCCGCCCGCCCCACGTCCGTAGGTGTGGACGATGGCGCCGACATCCCCCGGGAGCTGGTGGCGGGCATCTACGAGAGGATACAGCAGAAGGAGCTCAAGTCCAATGAGGACCACGTCACGTACGTCACCAAGGTGGAGAAGTCCATCATGGGCATGAAGACAGTGAGTGTCCGGCGCGGGGCAGCACTTGCCACACAGGGTCGGCTCCCGCCCCCTCTCCTTCCTGTCCTCCTGGTATCGCCTCCCTTTCGCCTCCCTCCCTTCCCAAAGCCCTGGACCCCTTCCTGCTGCTCGCTCGCGGAGGTACCGCGCGCCCGCCGCGTGTCAGGGCGGCATTCTCCTTTGTCCACTGCCCAATTTCCTCATTGCCTCCGGCCACCAGCTGCTGCAGCAGGAGAGACTGAGGCGAGATGTCGAGAAGGACTGCCCAGTTGTCCAGGGTTGGAGCATCTGGGTGGCCAATGGGGAGGTTGAGGATGCCTTTCCTAGGACGGGGTGCACGCCAGGCCTTCCTGGGTGGTGCCGATAAATAGAGGCAGGAAACAGCCTGGCGTAGGCTCTGGGCTGCGTCGTCTCAAACCACTGAGGTGCCCATGGGTGGTGACTACATCCCAGGCGTGCGATGATTTTTAAAGTGAGCGTTCTCCGGAGGTCACCACGCTGCTGTGTCGGCAGGGGCGCTTTGTACCGTAAATATGAAGGGTGCAGAGAAGTGTCCAGTTCCTCCTGCCTCGGTTGCTGGCTCAGGGGAGAAACAGTCTGGGGAGTGGGGGACCTCATCTGAGGCCCCGCGCCGGGCTGCCTCCACCCAGCCTGTGCGGCAATGGCCCTTCCTGCTCCAGGGCCATCATTGCCGAGGTCCCAGCACCTGTCTGGCCTGCCGGTGACTGGCTTGTCCCACACACGGGGTAGCCGCGCGGTGTCCCTGTGGGCCCCTCACTCTTGCACACGTGTATGTGGGTGCGCGGTAGGGAGAGGGTGGAGGCGTCGTAGCTGCAGGCCGCAGCTCGGGACATGGGTCACCCTGGAGGTCACAGAGGGCAGGAGGTCAACAGTGGCCGGAGGGAACAACCTGAGATCTCTCGCCAGCGTCCTTCCCACCCGCTCGCTCCTGGCCGACTCTGGCGTAACGAGCCCCTTCTCCCGTGGCCTTGCTCCCCAAGGAGCCTGAGGACGGGAAGGGGCCCTGGATGAGAGAGAGGAGGTTGAGGGTCAAGTTCAGGCCCCGCAGTAGAACCGGAGCCACCTCCCTTCTCCCTGGGGGGTCCGTGGTCCCTGGGCTCCTCCAGCCAGTGCCGAGTGCCGTCCCCTGTCCAGGTGCTGTCGGTGCCCCACCGCCGCCTGGTCTGCTGCAGCCGGCTCTTCGAGGTGACGGACCTGAGCAAGCCGCAGAAGCAGGCAGCGCACCAGCGGGAGGTGTTCCTCTTCAACGACCTGCTGGTGGTGAGCGGCCCCCGGGACCCTGGGAGGGCAGGGGGGCGTCCGGGGCTTCCAACAGGCTCCCTGCGCAGGACGGATGCGCCCTGTCCTGGCGCCTTCGCAGCGTGGGCGTGAGGCAGCGCAGGCAGGTTCCATGAGTCCCGCTTTGCAGGTCGTGAGGCAGAGACGCCAAGCAACCCGCTCACAGCTGCGCGGTCAGGGTGGAAATGAGCCCGACCCCAGCCCGTCTGCCCCTCCACGCACAGGAAACCGAGGGCAGGCAGGGCGCGGCGACGCTCCGTCCCCGGGAGGGATGGGACCGAGTGGGGCAGGCGCGGTCCCTGGGCCTGGGAGGCTGGGCTGCGTGGGCGTGCGCGTGTGCGGGCGTGTACACACGCACACACACACACACACACACACACACACGCGCGTCTGTGGGTGCTTTTCCCGGTCTTTGAAAACAGGAATCCATCCAGCAGCTATTTCTCACGCTGACTGCGCCAGGCGTGTTCTAGGTGCCGGGAGACAGTGCAGAGCAGGCTTTGAGCAGACGTGTCTTTCCCTGTCTTTTGCTCTCCCTGCGGGAGCCACGCGGGCGCCCCCTCTAAAGCGGCCCCAAGCCTGACGACCGCCGCCCCCTGCATTCTAGTCCTGCCACCGGGACAGGCCTGGCCTGCGCATCAGCCCCACTCGGGTCTGCCTGCTCCCGAGGCCCAGCCTCCACCGCAGCGGCAGCAGCGATCTTTCCAGAGGGCACAGCCGGCCGCGTGGCCACCCTGCCCGAAACCTACCCGCTCCCCGTGCAGGGACACAGCCCAGACCCTGCTGGGCCCAGGTCCCCGACCTGCCGCCCCGCACCCTCCTCGGGCCCCACGAGCCGCCTCCTGCCTGCCAGGCCTCTTTCTTGCCGCTGCCACTGCGTGGAAAGCTCCCCCAGAACCACCCGCCACCTCCGCCTCTTCATCCAGGTGGCACGGCCAACGCCACCTCCTCCGGGAGGCCCTCCTGCCCACCTAGCAAGGAGGTCTGCCACTCGCTCTCTCTTCCCTGCCCGCTTCCTTTTTCTTCGAAGCACTTAGAGATTCCAAAATTACCTTATGTACCCCCTTCTGCACTTTGTTTTTGCTGTTACGCTTTACTGACTGATCGACCGATTTCCACTTCGAGTCTTCCGCCACCTGCGCAAGTGCCCGGAGGGCAGGGGCTGTGTCCCCGTCTCCTGCGCTCCCAGAGCCCAGCGCGCAGGTGGTGCTGAGGGAGCAACGGGCTGACTGTATCAAAGTGGGCTCTCGTTTTAGTAGTGGAGAGAGAGAGAAAATAATTAAGGAAACAAACAAGATAACAGAGCAGGAAGGTGCTATGAAGGCAGCAGACAGGGTGCTGGCGAGTGACTGGGGCGGAGGGGGCGGTTTGGGGTTTACTTTCGTTTATTTTTTAGGCAGGGTGGCCCAGGAAGGCACCTCTAAGGAGGTGGCATTTGAGTGAAGCCCCGGCCGTGCAGAAGGCTGCGGGGGGAGTGGCGGGAGAGGCCGCCAGGGCAGGGCGGGGATGTGGGTCGGCGTCCGCATGCGGAGACAAGAACCACTGGAGGGTTCCGTGCAGTGAAGACACACATTTTGATACAGTGTGTGTGTGTGTGTGTGTGTGTGTGTGTGTATCTGTATGTCTGTGTGTGTGTGTGTGTGTAAGAGTACGTGTGTGTACGTATGTATCTGTGTGCGTTTGCTCACGTGTTCACGAATCTCCCTGGGTGTCCCTGCCTCCACACGTGCACACGTATGTTCACGCGTGTGTACACCCGTCAGCGTACGGCACTCTCCCTTCCCCGGCCAGATTCTCAAACTCTGCCCGAAGAAGAAGAGCTCATCCACGTACACCTTCTGCAAGGCGGTCGGCCTTCTGGGCGTGCAGTTCCACCTCTTCGAGAATGAGTGTGAGTCTTGCGAGTGGGCCCGTGGCCCGGAGATGCAGCAGGTGGCGGGGGAGGCTGAGGGACAAGGGCTGTCTGTGGCGTGGGGGCGAGTGCCGCGCAGACCCCGTCCCCTCCGCCGTCTGGCTGGCCCCGGCCCTCGGCGGCGGCTGCTCACGGCCCGCCGGGGCCTGGGGTCTGGCTTCCAGATTACTCTCACGGCATCACGCTGGTGACCCCGCTCTCGGGATCTGAGAAGAAGCAGGTGCTGCATTTCTGTGCCTTGGGATCAGACGAGATGCAGAAGTTCGTGGAGGACCTGAAGGAGTCCATCGCCGAGGTGACGGAGCTGGAGCAGATCCGGATGGAGTGTAAGGACGCGGCTGCCCGGCTGTCCCGGGCAGTGGGCAGGGTGCACGGGTAGGCTCTGGTCTCCCAGCGGCAGGGGCAGCTTGCAGACAGACACGCCCCTGACACCTGGGGGCCGCCCTGGCCTGCTCTGGCCCCTCCCTGTCTCCTGACCCCTCCGCACCATGCTGGGCTATCGGACGAAAGGGCCGGTACCAGTGCTGCTTCTCACGTCCTCACGACGAAAAGCGAGCACGCGTGTGTGCCCACCTCGCTGGGCACCTGGGCTGCAGTGGGCCCCTTGGAACGGAGAACCCTGCTCCGTCTGCCCAGGACGCCGGGTGCGCTGGCCCAGGCGGGCGTGCAGACCACGAGGCCCACGTGCTCAGGGCTTCTCTTCCCACCGAACTGTCTCCCCTCGCCTTTCCCCAGATCTAGTCTAAGTCCACACGCTGCGTCTGGTTAGTTTCACGTCTTTAATCTCTTTTAACCGAGAACCATCCCTGCACTTCATTCTTTATGACATTGGCTTTTGGCAGAGCTCAGGCTGGTTTTCTCACTGTCCTTCATCTCGCAGTTGTCTTTCTGTTCCTCTAAGCAATGCCTAGATTCTAGACTTTCCAATAAAGGAATGTCAGAGGATGCGCGGGGCCCTCCGTGTGTGCAGGTGGTTCACCAGCTGCTCTCTGGGTTAGAGAAGAGCAGGAACGGCCTTCGACCGTGGCCCTCTGCAAGCGCTTGCTGTTGAAGCATCGCAGTGGTTTCGGGTGGATTTTGAGGGAAAATTAAATAAGAATGGATTCAGAAACTAAAACAGAAAATTAAAAATAGACTTCAGGGCCAGGCGCGGTGGCTCACGCCTGTAATCCTAGCACTCTGGTAGGCCGAGGTGGGCGGATTGCTTGAGCTCAGGAGTTCGAGACCAGCCTGAGCAAGAGCGAGACCCCGTCTCTACCAAAAATAGAAAGAAATTAATCGGACAACTAAAAATATATAGAAAAAATTAGCTGGGCAGGGTGGCACATGCCTGTAGTCCCAGCTACTCGGGAGGCTGAGGCAGGAGGATCGCTTGAGCCCAGGAGTTTGAGGTTGCTGTGAGCTAGGCTGATGCCACGGCACTCTAGCCTGGGCAACACAGTGAGACTCTGTCTCAAAAAAAAGAAAAATAGACTTCAGGTCTGCTCGTGTGGCCACGTACTTGGAAAATGTTTCTGAATCAATATAAACCGTCAGGCAGCAGGAACGGCAGTGGGGGTATTTGAGCAGGGACCGGCATGACAGGGTGGTACTTTTTAACCATCATTTGTGAAGCGCCTCCTACGCGCCAGGCGGTTTATTTATATTCTGCCAGTCCCCACAGTGATGCTGCAGGAAGGTGTCTGTCCCCATCCTGCGGGTGAGGCTCAGAGAAGGTGAGTAGCGTGTCCGGGTCACGCATATCGGAAGTGGAGGACCTGTCGTTTGCATTTAAATCTGATTCCAAGGTTCACGAACTTCCGAGAGTGAGAGAAGAGGCTCTGTTTACGATTTCCTAAGAAACAGCCTAAATCAGAGTTGAACAGAACTCCACAGACAGCGCGTGTGACCGCGGCAACTGCTTGGCGGGGAGGGGTGCCCGTAAACCCCCTTTCCCAGGCCGCGGGGTCATTCGAGTTCAGTGGTTTAACAAACAGACACTTCAGGGGCTGCACTGGATGTCCAGAGAGGCCACCTCGGCTGTTGTTCCGGAACATTCTCAAGGATGCACCTTGAATGGCTTCACTTCTCTTGGTGTCAGAATGTCCCAGGTGGCCCCGCACTGCGCCGGGCAGCCATAGCACGCCACCTGGCGCCGCGCTGCCAGCAGAGGCCGCTGCCCAGCCCGGAGCGGCACACCCGCGCTCTCCCAAAGCAGCGAAGGAGTGGACGTCGTCAGCGTCGGTGAAGCCGGGAGGTGCACGGATGCACGGGAGCAGGGAGAAAGGCCCACGCTCCGCTCTCCGTCTTCCGATGCAGAGAAAGGGAGGGGACAGCTGAGGACAGATGAAGGGCTGGCCGGGAGAAGGAAGGGAAAGAAGTCAGAAAAAAGGAAAATGAAAAATTTAGTCCCAGCTGCCGTTCACTGAGCACTTTTTCATGCTCGTTGCTGAGCCTGTTAATGCTCACAGCTTTCCACGAGTGGGTGTTATTACCCTCATTTTACAAATGAGGAAACCAAGGGTAACGAGCTCCAGGAAGTGGTCCAGGTCCACACAGTCGGTGATAAAACAAGGTTTGCACCAGGTGCTCCCAACTCCGTGCTTGTGGCTGTGGCGCTAATTTCTCCAAAGCCAAGAGACCCCTCCGGGGGAGAACAACAACTCTCGGTTCGGCACAGATGTTTGATCCGATTGATGGGCTGGCTCAGGCGATCAGGACAAATCGTTCTGGTTTGGAGGTTTGCAGTTCAGCGTCCCTGGATTCTAGACAACCAGAGAGACGGACGGTGGAACCAGGGGAGTAGCTTTGATAAAAGGAACTTGATCGTGTCTCCTGGGAGAGAGAGGTCAGAGGAGTGATTTAATGATGACTGTCAGACGGTGGCGGAGGATGGTGGCTGGCAGGCCCAAAGCACCACTGAGGAGAACAGGAAGGAACAGGTTTCCAGTCCAGAGAGGAATTAAAGTTTAGTACCGAGACAGCTGTCCTGGCCACGCAGGCTGTGCAGCACCGACAGGTCCTTGGACACCTGGAATGTCCTCCTCGGGAGAGCTCAGAGCACCCTGCGGAGGCCCCGCGGCTGAGGCGGCCTCAGTCCTGCCAGGTGCAGGGTGGGTGGACAGGATGTCACTAGCTGTCACTGAGGTCTGCCGTGCCGAGAGCTTTGTGATGGGAGCTAAGACTTACCGGGCACTGCCACGGCCAGCCCTGGCTCCGAGTGCTGGGCACGTACCTCCTCATATAATCCCGAAGTGGGCACACCTGTCCCTTCAGGTGAGGCCCAGAGAGGTCAGGGGAGTTACCTGAAGCCACACAGCTAGAAAGTGTTGAGCCAAGATTCAAACCCCAGCCGTCAGCCTCCCCCGTACCCGCCTCTCCCTCGGCCTCTCTGACACTCGAGCAGGTCTTACCGTCCCCGCGCACAGATGAACAGACCAGCTCTAGGGACATTTGACTTGCCGTTCGGTCGTGGCGCCAGCCCCAGTCCCCATTTCGTAGCATGTATGGGAGGCCCTGCCCTCCTCCCCTTCCTCCTCCCCTTCCTGCTCGCTCCTCTATCCTTCCCTCACCTGCGAGGCCCAGGTTCTGCTTCTCTGATTCATGGGTTTCTCCACCCCTTAGGGGAGCTGGAGAAACAGCAGGGCACGAAGACGCTCTCCTTCAAGCCCGGAGCCCAGGTGGAGCCACAGTCAAAGCAAGGATCGCCTACAGGTGAGCGTCAGCTCCACCCAGGCCTGGACCTCGGAGGCCACCGTGGCCCAGGGCCGGAGCCTGGGGCGTGTGGGGGGGGAGAGGTGCGGTTCCTGCCGCCGTTGCTTTGCTTTCTGCGAGCAGCGCCGGCCGTGCTCTCTAACCTCACGGGCTCTGGGCGTGGGCGTGGGGAGGCGGGTGGGAGAGAAATGTGCCCATTTCTCAAACCGCGCCAGAGCTGCCGAGTCCGTGCGAAATGTCACTGTCGGCCCTGCCGGCGTCGGGCCAGAGTCCTGCCGTGCTGGCCCCTCCCCTGCAGCCAGGCTGTCTGACACTGCGGGTTCACTAGGGCGATCAGAGGGTGGTCAAGAGAAACCCCACAAGAAAGACCCCAGCCAGGAGCCCGGTAAGAAGGCAGGGCGGCCAGAAGAGTCTGGAAATCCGGCCCTGCCCCATGCAGCCCTTCCGCTAGCAGGCTGGAAGCACCCTCTAATCCGAGGCCAGGTCAGCTCGGCCCGAAATCCAGATCCACCCTCGAACTCAGTTTCTGTCTTGGCTTCTTCGAGTTGAATTGTTCACTCCAGCCAAATGGAGTCAGCTTCGGCCTTGGTATCTCCTTCGGCCACGTTCTCCAGACCCGCTTCCTCCTGCCCCTGACGTCCCCCACCTTCGGCCTCCTGCCCTGAACCTTACCCCCCTGCAGGGGTCACAGGAAGCATCGCCTCCCCGCCCCCCCAGCCCCAAATAAAGAGAAGAAGAGAAGGCGTGAGAATTAATCCCGTCCTAACAGAACCCAGCAAACCACCCGACCTGCTGCCTAACTGGCCGGTCGTTTCCTCTCGCGCTCAGAGCCTGCTGCCCTGCACGGGGCCGGGACAGCCAGGGCGCAGCGAGACCCAGTCTGAGCCGAGGAGCCCTCCGTGGTTGGCCCTGACCCCTGGCTCGGGACGGGCCCACCATGCCAGCGAAGACACGTGATTCCTTTTCCAAGCAGGACATGGGGCTCTTTGCTAGGAGGAGGTTCTCACGGTCACGGAACCTTCTGTGCGCGGGTCTAGCCTGCCATTGGGTGTCCGCGTCTCTGCACCTCTTTCAGTCCGCCCTTCGTTTCTGTACGGCGCAGGACGGGGGCCACCCCTCGTTTTCACAGCCGTCTAAACCCCAGAGCCAGTCCTCAGGGCCCCTTGGCCCCCACCCCGCACCCACACCCCACCCGCCTCTCTTTTGGCAGCTGCAGCCCTGGCGGGGCCCAGGTGCACGTCCGCCGGGAGGCGTTTCTCACTCCCCAGCAATGGCGCTCTCCCTCTTACGCCGCAGAAAGCAGAGGGCAGAGCCCAGCAAGGGGAACTGGCACCCCCAGGGGGGTTGGGAAATCAGAGGGGCCCCTGCCAGGGGTGGCAGTGGAAGCCAGGGGCGACTCTGCCAAAAAGCATCATGGAGCTGTCCTCGGGGGTCCACAGGGTCCCTGCTGCTATGTCGGGCCGGCCAGAAGGCCTAGCGGTAATTACAGGGCCATCATGGGCTGGCACAGTGCCAGCACCGCGGGGCGTGCCGTGCAGGCCTGGCCCATCACAGCTGAGTCTTGGGGGTGGGAGCAAGGAGGTGCGGCCCCCACTCAAAGAGCCTGCAGGGAAGGGAGGCAGCCCAGCATGGTGCCACAGACCAGTGCCTGCCTGGTCAGCCGGCTGTCACGCCCACAACGGGAAGGCTTTGACTGTGGGTAAATTAGATTCGACAACGCCAGCATGGGAAAGAGCAGCAGAGACCTTCTGGTCCATGGAGGCCCAGAGAGATGTAGCACCTTGCCCAGGGCCGCACACCACAGTGGCAGAGCTGGGCCCCGCCTTCCGGGCCGAGGGCTTTGTCTGGGTCTCATGCCTGCTCCTCCGACTGCAGGGGTGCCTGGGGGGGTCTGTGTCGGGACTGGCGGAGAACAGCCCTGTGCTCTTTGTGCTCACAGCCAAGAGGGGAGCCGCCCTCGGGGAGCAGCCGGCGGACAGCGTGGTGGAGGTAAGTGGAGGCCAGGTGAGTGTTTCCTTGCCCGACTGTCCCTCCTCTCATGTCTGTGTTGTTTCTCTTCTCAGGTTTTAATCAATGCCTCCCCAGCCCGACTCACCATTTTACCAATTCCGAGAGATACAATTAAAAGTTACTGCTAGCATGGGTAATGCACTGTTCCCGCGCCTGACTAAGCCACGAGCACTTTCTCCCAGCCCCCAGCCCACTGCCCTCCAAGGCCCAGCTCCCAGACTCGCAGGTGGAGTTGGAGCCCCTGACACCCAAGGGCCCCAGGTCCGCTTCCCCGGCAAAATGCCTGCTCCCTGGCGCTCGCCTGTTCAAGAGGCCGGCGTTCCTTCCCGCCCCTCATGGGGAGCCGGGGCTCCCTCCAGAGAGTTGCCCCTAAGTCCAGGCCCCGAGTGATCACTTTGGGGCAGACCCTGCCCTCTCAGACAGCAGCGGAGGCCGGAGATTTGAGGGTGGGGGCGGTGGGAGGGGGCTGCCCCCGGAACGGCTGGTCCATCTGGAAAGCTGGCCACAGGCCAGGGACGTGTGCAGGGGACAGTGAGGCAGAGAGGGCGGGGCTGCCTCAGTGGTTCTTGGGGGAAGAGCTGACAAATGTGAAGACCCTCCAGCTAGGGGAGGGGCCCAGGGCACAGGGGAGCAGCAGCGGCTGGCCCCTGCCAAGCTGCCAAAGAAAGTGCCACCTGTGGGAGGAGCACGCAGCGGCCCAGCCCTCCCTCCGCCACCCACTCCTGCCCCATCCCCCGCACCCCAGTGAGCCCCACCCCCACACCTTTCCCCCAAGCCTCGGGGACCACCAGCTGCTCACGCAGACACCTCCCTTCCCAACCCACTTCGACCACTTCAAGCTGGAGAGGCCCCCACTCAGGTGTCTGAGGGAGGAGCCCCCCAGTCTGGTTAAGCTCTGGGAGGCCGCAGGACACCCCAGGGGAGCTCAATTCCTTCTCTCAATCCCACGGCCCCCACCCCACACACCCGTGTCTGGAGGAGGCACCTTACTCGGAGGAGCTTCCCGCCCCAGCAGCCGACAAGCCCCCAGGGTGGGTATTCCATCCCCTCACCCTCTGGGGCTGCCCATTCTCCCGCCTTGCAGTGAGCGCCAGCGCCCAGCCCGCTGCCCTGCCAGCCTGCCCTGCCTCAGCCTGAGCTGCCCCGGTCCCGCCCTCCCCGCTGCCCAGCCCAGGGCGTGTGGCTGTCTGCAAGGCTGCCCCTCAGCCAGCCCCAGGGCCCCTGCCGGCCTCTGCCCTCCTGCACAGAGGGCAGCCTCGCCGCGTGGCCTCTCAGCTGGGCCCCAGCTCTCCGACCCCTGCCCTCTGCCTGCGCCTGGCGAGCCCTCTGGCAGGTGCTTCTCCATCCCTCCGAGCTGTCCTTACCTGCTGCTCTCGCTCCATCCTCCCCCCACACCCCCTTCTTTCTTTCTTTCACGGCAGGGAGGTGAGAGGTCAGAATGAGAGGACCTTTTGCTGTCACTTCCTGCTTTTCACTTACTGACCATCAAAGACCGAGGACCCCTCTGGGGCGGGGCTGGGGTGCAAAGAGAGCATGGGAGGGAATGGGGTGCCGTGGGGGCCGCAGGGAGGAGGAGAAGGAAGGCTCAGGGTCTGCACATGGCGGCCGCGAAGCCCAGGGAGGGAGGCAGGGGCAGGAGCCTGCCTGGCCGTCCCAGGCCGCCTTTCTCCGTGAGCAGTTCCTAACGTAAGCAGGTGAGGAAGGGGCGGTGCCTCCAGCAGCGGTGGTGACAGAGGCCTTCTGCCGAGTGAGGACCGCGGAGGGCTCTGCCAGAGGAGGGCGACCCCAGCCGGGCTCTCTGCCGGCCGCGTGTCTTGGCAGGACAGCGAGGGGCTCGGGGGCTCCTTCGTCTGTTCCGGGGGCGCTCGGGCCTGGGAAATGAACCCTGCAACACGCCGAGCGCGGGGGCGGGGCTTGTGAATACTGAGGGGCAGACGGGGCCTGGAGCCTTGGAAGGAAAGCGGCCCCCCAGGTGTGCACAGGTCCAGGAAGGGGTCTCTGACATTGCTCCTTCAGCTGCCAAGCGGGATTGGGCTCCAGGATCATTTGGGGCTGGGCCGGCCTGGTGGAGGCCTGGGATAAGGCACCCCCTTCCAGCCTTGGTTTCCCCTCTGTGCTCTGAGCAGCCAGCCCGCGGCGGTGGTGCCCCAGGACAGACGGTGGCCCAATAGGAAGCACCCCCAGAGAGGAGCAGAGTCCCAGTCACCCCCCGAAGAGCCCGGGTGTTGGGAGGCGGCCGTGGTGTGTCCCAGCTACAGCCTGGGGAGCTTGGAGTGGAATTAAATCCTCTGCTTTCAGAATCCTCTGGCCTCCTTCTGCCCAGCTCCTCCACCTCCCTGCTAGGCAGGTTGACAGTGACCTCCGAGGGAGGAGGCTCTCGAGGGTGTCTGAGCCGCCTCCTCCTGCCCCACCCAGCGGTAGAGATCAGAGCCCTTCTAGGAGGGCTGCCTCCAGCACCCGGGCAAGTCTGACCGAGGTCCGGGGCCCTGACTCCGCTCTTGTCTGTCTGGGCTGCTCTGGACTGCGGGGCCGTGGCCTCGGGGAGTCCAGGGGGACGGGGGAGGCAGGCGCAGATCACCCCTGCAGGGGTCCTTGGCATTCTGGGGTTTGGGTGCTTTCACGGTGTCAGTAGCGACAAGGAGGCTCTTCTCCAGCAAAGTGAGGGCTTGCACGGCTGGACTCCCTCCCTGCGCCCTGCCCTCCCGGGCTGCACACACTCCAGGGAGGCAGGGAGGGCAGAGGCCGTCAGCCCTGCGTTGCGAGCTCGGCGGTTGGTGGAGAAGGAGGTGGGGAGACTCTGCGTGGCCCAGAGCCACCCAGCAGAGCCCACCTCCCGGAGGGGGAGACTGAGGCCTGAGGACGGCAGTGTCTCTGCTCACGCTCCCTCCCGGGGACAGCCAGGATCAGATCCCAGGTTCCTCTGGGCACAGAGATGGGCAGAGGTCCGAGCCAGGGCAGAGAGCGGGAGGGAGGCCAAGGGAGGCTCAGGGTGGCCCTCCTAGCGGCTGGGAATTAGTCTCGTAACATTTCACGCTTCTCTGGCTGTTTCTAAACTAGGTGTCAATTCACAACAGGCTTCAAACGTCCCAGCACAGCCCCGGGCTGGGGGCCGAGAGCGGAGCGCGGGCACCATTGCCAGACCTGCAGCGTAGCCCCTTGAGGGAGCAGCCCCCACCACCGCCACCGCCGCCGCCGCCGCCGCCGCCGCCCACACCTCCGGGCACCCTGGTGCAGTGCCAGCAGATTGTCAAGGTCATTGTCCTGGACAAGCCCTGCCTGGCCCGCATGGAACCCCTGCTGAGCCAGGCTCTCTCCTGCTACGCCTCGTCCTCCTCTGACTCTTGCGGCTCCACCCCCCAGGGCGGCCTGGGCTCCCCCGCCAAGGCTGTGCACCAGCCGCCGCTGCCCCCGCCCCCGCCGCCCTACAACCACCCTCACCAGTTCTGCCCCCCCGGCCCCCTGCTGCGCCGGCGCCGCTACTCCAGCGGCTCCAGGAGCCTCGTGTAGACTCTGCCCCACCCCTGCCGCTACCTCGGGGGCCTGGCCGCCCCTGCAGCTCCCACACCCTGGCAGGATGCATTCCTGGTCACGGATCGCCATCGTTCTGGAAAGAGAACCCCCCTCCCTGGCACCTGGGTTTGCCTCATCCCACCGCCCCCCACCTCAGTTGAGCACCCCCTCGCCAATCCGGGGACACCACCGCACTCCCTCGGCGGCACAGCCGGGCCAGGCAGCCACCCCTCCCCCCGTGGGGCTGAAGAAACTGGAGCCCAACTTGCGGCTTTGAGCCCATTGGTGCCCAGAGGCCTCAGGCCAGGGCAGGAGCGAGAGGCGAGAGGCGAGAGGCGGCGGCTCTCAGCCCAAGATGGTGCATCTGCCCAGGCTGAGCCGAGGAGGGTTAGCTCGGGCCCCCTGGGGGCTTCCTCTGCTGCCCCGGTGCCCCCAAGCCCAGCAGTGTCTGGAGGCTGCTCCCGGGTCTGCAGGACGTGGGCTGTCCTTCCCCCTCCTCCCAGGGCCTTTGCTTTCTCAAGAGCTGCCCAGACCCCAGGAAAGCTCCGGGAAAGGCAGGAGGGAAGGGAGCACGCTCAGCTCTCTCTGGGCCAGGCTGACAGGCCCGAGGGATGATGGGGTCTGACGTCTACAAAAGGCACCTCTTTAAGGAATTTCTTAGTTCCCCAGCCCCAAATAGCACACGGGCACGTGCACACAGACACGGGGGAGAGCCAGGTCAGTTCCTTCCATCGTGGAAGCAGGAACAGGGAGATGGGGCAGGGATTTGCCCAGCGGAGATGGGTCTCCGGCCGGAGGCAGGGCTCCCTCTTGCAAGACGTCCGTGGCCGGCAGGAGGGACTTGGGTGCAGAGGGGGTGAGAGAAACAGGGGCTCCAGAGGCACTTGTTTCCCCTGTGCCCCTCAGCCTTCAATGTTTCCCTCCTGGAAGGTGCCAGACCCACCGCCCCGGGGGTGACTGAAAGAGTCCCCGGACCCTCGCAGTTGCAAAGGAGACCCAAACTGGCCTCGCTGACCTCCCAGGGCCGAGCAGGCGGGGGCAGCTGGCGGTAGGGTTAGGGTTAGGGTTAGGCGGCCCCACAGAGCCCAGGCCTGGGGCAGGGGGCAGGACCTCCCCAGCCAAGAGAGAGGCAGCCCACCCTCAGGCCCTTTCTGTCCTGCGGGACCAGACTCCAGCCCTGTGCCACCAGCTCGCTGCTGTCCTCTGTGCAGCTCACTGCCCCTGGAGCTATTGCTAGAGCTCCTGAGAGAGGGCGGAGCAGGGGCCGGGGCTCCAGTGAGCCTGCGTGGCCCAGCCAGGAGGGCGCGTGGATCATTCCTGCTCTCGGAGGGCGCAGGTGACCCAGTTTCCTGTGTGTGTGTGTGTGTGTGTGTGTGTGTGTGTGTGTGTGTGTGTGGTCACCCGGACGTCACTGTGACTCACCCAGTGAGTCTATTTCTGGCATCTTTGTCAGCTGCTCTCCGCGACCTGCAGCCAGGCTGCGTCCCCCCATGGCTCCCCAGCCCGTCTGCTCTGCCTGTCCTTGTCACCCTGACCCCTCTGCATCTTCTCTGTAAACGGGGACGCTCCGGCCAGAGCCCGTCGGAAGGGAGCAGCCCGCAGCCGGAGTGCGGACTCAGACTCCCCGGTGTCCGCGGCCGGGGCAGGGACGGCCCCAAAGTGGAGGCCCAGGCAGGAGGCCCCAGGGACGCGGGAGGAAGTGGGCTATGGGGATGGAAGGGCTGAATCTTGGATGAGGGGAGCTGAAAACAGAGGGCTGTGAACAGGAGGCAGGAGCACGAGGTACGGCAGAGCATGAGGCACAAGTGCAGCTGACTGTATTCATGGGGTGTGGGCCGGGGGCTGTGCGGGAGGGCACTGGCCCAGCCAGCCCTGTCCCACCAGGCGGGACCCCTGCCACCTGCCCATGCGGCACTTCCAGCTTACAAAGTGCCCTCCTCCCCGGATGGGGGCACAGCAGCCCTGGGCCCTCCCTCCCACCTCCGCGGAAGCCCCCGCCTCCCAGACTGGGACCAGCAGTGCCCTTAGGGCTGGCACCTGGACCTCGGGTCCTCAGCACCCATCCCCCAGGGAAGAGGCTCACCCCTGGGTTGGGCTGGTGGCTGCCCAGGTCCGCTCACAGCACGGGGAGTCCTGCTGCGGGAAGCAGACCAGCCTGGGTCGGCAGCCTGGGGAGCCAGTCTGAGCTGGGAGGGGCTTTTAACCCCCGAGGGCCGGGCCAGCACACATCTGGCCCTCCTTGCTGTCAGGCGAAGCAGGTGCCCAGCGTCTGCAACGCCCCTGCCCCCGATCAGCCCACCAGCTAGGGTGGGGACCCAGCTTTGTGCCCCTCCCAGAGCCCGGCCCTCAGACACCTGGGAGAGCCCCCTGCTCCCTCTCAGAGGGCGGGTGGGAGGCCGAGGGCGGCGGAGTGCTGACTGACTGAGCACCTGGCCCAGCCGCCCCGCGGCAGCCCACACCATCGACTTCCTGGGCCTGCCTTTAGGGACCTGGGCCCTCTCCCTATTTTATCCCTGTGGCTGCAACTCCACACTCCGGAGTGGCGGATGAAACCAGCTTCCCCAGACCTGAAGCAAGACCCAGCCCGCTGCGTGGCCTGGAAGCCCCCTGCCTGCCTGTCCGTCTCCAAGGGCACGGTGATCCCACACGCTCATCAGGCCTGGGCCCCTCACCCCGCCCCGGCTGTTCTCTCGTGCCTGCCAGGTGTCTGTGCCGCCAGGCCGCGTCTCCAACCCTGTGCGCTGCTGTACGGACCTCCCTGCTGCACCCTCCCCGCGCACCCCCTCACCCCCTCGGAGAGAAACCTCTCCAGGGAAAGGCAGCCTGGCTGCACCCAGCAACTAATCCAAATGGCAAATATTTTGTAACAAAATAGCCCAGAGGTATTTTATCTGTTCAATTCATAGAGTTTTAGAGATTATATTGAAATATGTCACTTGAGCAAACTGTGTGGGTTCAGTTTCTTTTGTTCTCCCGAAGGGAGGGCCCCCCCTTAAGTCAGAGCCTCTGATCGGGGAGGGCCTGCGGCAGGAGGACGCACTGAGGCCTCCCCCTGGAGGCCGCTGAGCAGGGCCTGGCGCGGCTGGGGGTGGGGGCCGCTCTCCTCCGCGCAGCGGGTCCCTGCGCCCCAGGACCGTGCGCTTCTGCGCGGCGTCTTACAGAAAGGGGGCTCGGGCGTGGGAAGGAAGTTGTCTGCCGGGGGCCCTGGCAGAGCTGGGGAGCGGGGCCAGGAAATGGCGCACACAGGCCTGACCCCTTGCTCCAAAGCACGCGCACACAGGTCTTAGCGGTTGCAAGCGCAGGTTACAGCAGAGGCCACGGGCTGCCGTGGTGGGAGGAGGGGCCCCCACAGCCACTGCGCACCCAGGGAGTGAGGCCTCTGGCCCAGTGCTCTCTGCAGTGGGAAGCCAGGGCCTGTCGGGGCGGGAGGCCGTCCCGCTGCCCTGTGAGACCATTAGCCTCAGGCGGTTTTCCCTTCTAAGGGCAGGGCCTGTCCGCCCAGCGTCCTCTGCCTGAAAGGGGGGGGCACAGGCCCAGGAAAGGGCTGGGACGGTGGCAGAGCCGCAAAGAGCACTGGGGCAGGACCCCTGAGCCCTGCAGTGTGCCGGGTCCCCTGCTGGGAGCCGAAAGGGAAGCCAGGATCCTGCGAAGGACAGAGGGAGGGCGGAGGTGAGGACTGGCGCCAGCCAGGAGGGCCTGGGCGAGAGTCCACGGCCAGGTGGGACACTCAGCCCGGCTCCTGGACAGGCCTCGAGGTAGAGTAGTTTCGCGTGGCGGGGGGAGAGGAGAGAGCCTCCAGCAGCGCTCGGGCCTCAGAGGCACCACGTCCTGGGAGGAGGGGGAAGGACCACGCTGGCCGCGACGGCCGCTCCCAGGACACCCGGTGAGCAGAACTACGGACGTCCAGAAATCCAGACAGCTCCTTCCCCGGGCTGGTTCCTTTGTCCCCTGCTAAAGTCAAAGGGAACATGACCTCACCCTCTTCCCAGGAAACAGGAAATTCCAGAAGGAGGCACAGGCCAACTATGACCCGTCCCATTCTGGGAATTCTCTGACCCAGGAAGCTGAGGCTTGGCCCCTTGAGAGCGTCCTGGGGGACCAGCTCAGCCCAGGCCTGAGGGAGGGCCTGCGGCCAGGAGGCCGGACGCGGGGCGGCGGCACCATTCTCCAAGTCTCCTGGGCCCCACGGCCACCTGGGAGGAGCACCCCTCACTCCAGTGAGAGAGGGAGGTAGCCCGGGTCCCTCTGGTGCCATCTGGCATCGGGATGGAGAGGTAGGGACAGTGCGTGTCACCTTGCAATGACCCTTGAAAGATGGGGGAAGCTCAAACTCATCAGTCGCTGACTTAGAAAGTTTCCAGTGAGGGTCTCAGGCTAAAAGCAATGCCCGTGCTGGAAACCTAGCGAAGCAGCAAGCTTGCGAGCACCAGTGGACACCAGGCCCTCCTCCAGCTGCCGGGCACTGAGCCGCGTGTGGGACAAGCCCAGGTTCTGCCCGCAGGTTCACAGGGGCCGTCAGAAATGAGCAAGCGACAGACCCACCGTGTTCACGCAGAGAACTGTGTGAGAACGCTGGGGCGAGCCCGTTCCACGGTGAGCGTTCAAGAAAGGCCTCTGCAGGAGGAAAACTCAGCAGGGTCAAGGTCGAGTCTGAGGCGGCGAACGGTTCGGAGGCCACCACTACAACGCGGAGTGAGGCAGAGGCCGGGGCGACCTGCCAAAGGACTGTTTCCTGACCCAGGAATTTACTTACACGAAAAAAAAAATCTTAATAAAGTGTTAACGTCGATTTAAAAACCACCTTTATTGAGGAAATAAAAATCGGTCTTCTCATAGAAAATCCAGGACAAATGGGCACCGCAGCACAGCCCCTGGACAGTGTGTCGAAGGCAGGCGGTCGGGGGCCGCAGCCACCTCAGGGGCCCAGGCCACGGAGTAGACCCCGGAAAACAGACGCGCAGGGAGGCCGAGCCGCCCCGACCCTGAGGCAGCCGCGG